TCGGCCCCGGCCCCGGCCGTCCGCCTGGGCAGCGCCGCCGGGGTGCCCGCGGGGGGTGGAGGAGAAAGAAGGCGCCAGTTGAGGGCAGAGGAGGTGAAGGTGCCTGCCTTCCCGGTAGCCTCCTTGTCTGCTGTGCCCGCTTTGCGAGGAGAAGCGCGGCAACGTCTGACCTACTCTTCTCCGCTCTCTTCTTTGTGCAATAAAGTTCGAAACCAAAGGTTTCCTCTCGTACTGTATTTTATTCATGCCCTTTCCCCTGCTGCCCACCCCATTGGGGAAACACTGTTTTCTGCTTCGTTGAGATGATGAGGGCTTGTGCATTTTTAAATCATTTTGACTTTCCCTCACCCTCTTTTTTTTTTTTTTTCCTAAGTCAGTAGTCATGGAAATGCATTCTTTTGGGGAGGAAGGGGGTGCTAAGAAAAACATTTGTAATAACTTTTTTAAAAACTGTTGGGATCTCGTAAAAGGGAAGCTGGTGTTTGAAAAACAGTTTCGGTTTTAACCCTTTTCAATAAGGTTATCACTTGAGATCTATCATTCTGAAACACTTCGTTGAAACGAGTATCAGCCGATGTACTTTTGCTTTACATCACTTTTATTTTCCCCAACCATGCCAATGGCGTGTGGGTCCTCTGGATTTCTCCATCCCACCTCCTACCATGTTTCCCACATATTTCTATCTAAACTTAAATAACATTGATTAATACCAATTCCAAAAATAGGTATTTAAAAGTATCCATTATTTGTCTCGCATGAACTAGATAACCCCAGCCTGGGACTGACAATAATTGAAGCCACAGGGCTTATTTTCTTTGCCTTTTGGGAAGAGGCACAGCAGAAATCTTATTGAACATTAAAGATTAAAAGATAATTTTTAAAGGACCTGGAATGTGACCTATTTAAGTTTGTCATAGCTTCTTAAGAAGTTAGAATTTCATTCTGGCCTTAGCTTGCATCAGTTCTGCCTTCTAAAGGTTTCGTATAAAAGATACTTGGGGTTGCCAGATACTGAAATCTTTTACACTCACTACACATTGCCTGATTTAAAAGGAAAGCCCAAACGGTTACTTTTAGGTAGTGCAAAAGATGACCAGGTTGCTTTAAAAATAATCTGTCACAATGTGATACAATTGATTAATATGTACACAGTTTCTTGTTAGGAATAAATATTGATTGGTAAAGAAGTACTGTCTTCTGATTTTTCTGTATGTATGCAAGTCACTTTTCCAAAACTTCTTTTGGTGTATTGCAAGTCTTTAAAAAACACACATTAGCAGTTTGTCGTTGATGAAAAACTTAAGATGTAATAAAGGGTTTTTCCATAAGGATTGGGAAGATGATTTTATTTCCAAACACTGAGGAAATTATAGTATTGATGAAGCTATAGAATACTGTTTTTCCTTAAGAAAGATTTTTTGCAAGCCATCATATGTTGATTAAATTTTTTTTGTTATGAGAATATAGGACAAGAACTCTTTCTTTATGAAATTAAAAAAAAAAGTTTTCTGATGGTCTGATGGATTTTTTTCTTCAGCCTTATCCAAAAGATCTTTTATTTACAGATTCATAATCTGTGATTCTTAGCAGTTCCAGGTAAAACTTTTAAAACTTTGTTAATTCACTAACATTTGAATATTCACTCAGAGCATAATACTAAGATATACTTCTGTACCCTCTCAGGGATCAGTAAAAATCACAAATCTGCTTGAACTTTTATTTTTTAATGGGCACCTGTATTCAGAAAGCGAATGAATTTTTGACAGAAATTGAAAAATGTTAAAATGCACTTATGGGATTTAAAAATCTAGTGTTAGCCCTTTTGCATGATTTTTTTTTTTCATGAACGAGCCTAAGGAAACTTAGAAACCTGATCCATACATAAAATGACACCTTTTTTTTTCTGCTTTCTGAAATTCATTTTTTTTATTAGATCTGATTAACAGAAATTTTTGTTTCTTCATAGAGAAGTAGCTTTATTTTGTCTCATAAAATATTGGGTTTTGTATTTTGGAGTATATATGGTTATGATAAAACCAAGTATGCCCCCACTTTACGTCAATTTAAAAATCTTTTTTCTCTTTTTCTATAGTAGAAAAAAAACTATTGTAACTTAATGTTTACAATGTGTCACTGAAATTTATAATTTCACTTATTCCATACATACCTTATCCCCTACGGCTATATGTACACTTTTTTTGTAGCAGTCTGTGACAGTCTTACATGTTTCTTCATGAACAGTGTCACTTCCAGTGATCTTTATTAAATAGTTAGAGCTCAAATCTGAATGTATAGATATAGTAGATAGGGAATGGGGGGGAAATGCAAGGGTTTTTCTTTCTTTCTTATGTGTGAACTCTTTCTACCACAGTATTACTTGAGATAACAGTTGTGGTAGTTCAAATGTTTAGTTACAATTTACTGTGACAGAGAATGTAGTTAATGGATAGTGTTAGGTTTGGAATCAGTGTTGCCACTACTGTCATGTGCCTACCCTCAAGGAATTCTGTGACTTATGAGAAGTTTCTTAACGTTTCTCAGCCTCAGTTTCCCTATCCGTTAAATTAGAATAATACCACCCACTTTATATGGTCATGAGGAAAAGTACTCCTTAGGGACTCAGTAATAGATATTAATTTTTAAGTTTTATTTTAACTTTCTAGCTGTGGGACATTGGGCAAATTTCTTTTCCATACTTCAATTTCCTTGGCCATAAATGTACAATATCTACATCAGAAATGTGGAGATTAAATAATACATGTAAACTATTTTTAAAAATATTAAATGACAGGAATTTCACAAGTGCTCAACAAATGTTTCCTATTATTATTAAAATGATTCATCGTTAATGTTACTGTGTTTAATACACTGGAGCAGAAGCTGCAGCAAATCCAAAGATAAATTACTTACACTGCCTTATCTCTACCCTGAAGGAAACCTTTAGGGACTCAGTGACATAAGGCAGAATATGTCACAAGAAAGCAATCAAAGGAAAGAGAGATCATACTTGGTGAAATAATGGAAATTCCAATTTTATTTTTAATAAGTAATTCATTCAGATAGTTCATAATTCAAAACATATAAAATATAGAAAAAGTATTTGTGTGTCACCCCCACCCCAGTCAACCAAGCGTTACTGATTTCTTGTCCTTTCAGAGGTAGTCTATCCATATACAAGCAAATATGTATGTAATTTCCTACCCCCTTTTTTATACAAATGGTTTATATACTATATACACTATTGTGTATTTTGCCTTTTTCCACTTAATATTGCTTAGCAGTTGATTCGTATCAGTGCATAAAGAGCTTCATTATTATTATTATTATTATTATTATTATTATTATTATTTTAGGCATTTCATCATATGGATTTACCTGTATTTACTAATCAGCTAGTGAGCTGATTTTATTTTTAAGTCTAATATGACCTTTTAAACTAAAGGAATCTGTTGTTATGCCTTTATTTCTTAAAATGAAAGATTTCATTAAATGAAAAATAGCAGTTTGTGGCAGGAATTTGTTACCTGAACTGCCTCAATTACCTTTTTAGCTTCGGTGCAGGAAAAGGCAAGTAAGCTGTGTTAAGAGTTAACTATGAAAGTGAATTTAACTCTTGTCGAGGTTCTTGCAGTCCTGAACAAACTACCTCCTGTTACTTTCAGCCCAAAAAGTCTCTAAGAGTTTTCTCTTTCTCATGTAGTCCAGTCCTTTTTTTAAAGCAGGTTATTCTCGTGGGATATTATAATCCAGTAATGCTGATTACTGTACTAGTTTTCTTCCTGTGTTTATTTTTTGCATATTCATTAACTTATTTGATTTTCTAATATTTGTGGTGTAATTATCAGAGTTTTATATTTGATACCTAAATAAATAGTTTCACCTATATGCTTGTGTACTGAGATTTCACTGCTTAGATGACCCCCGCCACCCCGAAAGTCCTTGGTCAACCAGTTGGACCAAGTATTACTTATTTCAACTAGAGCACAAAACAGGTTTCAGTATCTCTCTTTTTGGCTTTTATAAGCAGCATTTAACCATAGTACATTTTAAATATACATGCTGTTAGTGTTTTTATCTTTAAAATACACATGCTGTGAATTTTTAAGTTGATTAAACTTGGAAAGAAAATGATAACTAATAATCCAGCAACAGGGAAAAATAAACCCCTTATCTTTCAAAAAACCAATTAATTGGAGCTGTTGTGGTGTATCTTATTCTTTGTATGTTCAAGTTGACAGTTATACATGCTAAAATTTTTAATGTAAAAATATTGCTTTACTATTTTGAGGATTTACTAGTATTTTACATAAAATATTAATATGTGCTGTTTTTACCTGCTCAATACTGAAATGTTTACAAAGCACTTTTTACACGTTTTTGGGAGATGGAGATAGATACTTGAAATCTGTAAAGGCAGGAAATTTTCCTCCTGGAACATGTCTGTGGGCTACCAGGGAATTAAGTGATTTCTCACAGCATCATGGAATCAGTGAATTGCCTTTTAGGGTGGAGTAAAGCTCAAGAACTAAAGTAACAATCTAATAATGTGAAAATGGCTGTTTGTTTTCCTCTGTCATTTAATATCTAAGAATATGCTAACTCAGTCATTATATAAGAGGTTAGCCCTGCTCAACTTTCTGAAGTCGTCCTAAGAAGAAAGTATGGTTTTAAACTTATTCTACGCTATCATATCTGTAAGTGTGGGTTTTTAAGACACATTTGAAACTTGGATAAGAATAGCTATTTGTTTTCTCATTCAGAATGCTTCCCCTCCTCCCCCCTCCCCCCCTTAATATATGCACACTCTTGTCTTGTGTCCTGTTTGTTGTTTTGCATTCTTCTCTTAGCTCTGTCAGAGGTGGCCCTGTAAAGACATGTTTTGTTATATTTTACCAAGAGTTTTGCTCACCTGTCTTCTAGGTTACCAAAAAGAAGGGAAAAAGATTAATCATTCATTTTGAGGTGTTTATCCCAGTAGATAAGTAGAAGACAGTATTTTCATCTCCCGTGATGAAAATTTACCTTTATATATTTAATCAATTTTTGAGACTAGTTACATGAATCTCAACTTAAAAGAAAAAAAAATAGTAATACTCCTTGAAAAACCTTTAAACGGCTGAGTTACTTTTTCTGAGGGTTCAGGTAAGGTGATAAAGGAGTTTACCATAAATGAAATGAGCTGTCTGAACAAAGATAAAAAGTATGTATTAATTTTCTTCCTGCTATTGGATTAATCTAGGATCTCTGAAGAATCTAACAAGGGACAAAGGTTTGGAGTGTAAGAGGTGAAGAACTGATGTTGGGGTTTTTTCCCAAAAGGAGAAAAGCAAAGACACATTTGGCAGGAGAAGAGAGAATCACTAAGTGGAAGTTAAAATAGCTAAGTAAAAATGACCTTGGTAGGAGTGGAGAGTTGGTCTGCAAGTTGACTTATACCAATAGTAGTAGAAAATGTCTTTCCCAAAGATTAATGAATCTTCTCTGAAACTAAGATTTCCTTTAAAGTGTGTTCCTGATGAGCTGGTTATCTGCATGAGAGTTTCTGGTTATAATTATATGGCAATATAGATGTAACTAAAAATGTTTGTAGTTTAGCCAAGCTGAAGAACCATTATTTTTAAGGATTGTTATCCCTATTTGTGTAAGTAAGTGATTGGCAATAGGAGACTCAGAAATACCTTGTTTTTCATCACTTTAGTGAAAATATTGCTTGTTCTGAACTATTTGTACTCTTAAAGGGGTATCATTTTCTTAAAAATATCAGTAGCAGCTTTATTGTTTGCCCTGACCAGTAATAGTAATACCTTGGTTTTACTTACTGCCATTTAACAATCTAGTCATTTGTTCAATGAACATTTAATCATCAACTTTTTTTACTGTTTGTGAAATAATCACTAGAAAATTGATTCAGTAAGTATTTTTTTAGGTATTAAATGAAGTATTGTTCTAGTTGCTGTAAACAACAACGCCTGAGTATGTGGCTCCTGTCTTCAAGGAGCTTACAGTGGTAGAGATCATAGAAAGAGTAGGAGAGAGAAGGACTCATACATGGCAGAAGGTCAGTCTTCATTGTTGTCTTAAAGGGCTATAGGAGCTTAAAAACGTAATTTGGTGAGGGAAAGTTTTGTAAAAGAATTTAAACTGAATATTCGTACTAGAGAACTTGGGTGGGCAGAGATAAAAGGGTGTGTATTCTAGGAAGTGACATGGACAAAAAATGACATGAAAGTAGAATAAACCTAATAGGTTCACAAGTGGTGAAGAAAGTATTACATTAACTATAAATCCACATTATAAGGAACTCTGAATGTGAGGCAGGAAGCTTTAAATTTCATGTAAGACTTGGAGGAACAATATAGACAGGAATGACATGATAAATTGGGCTAAAATATAGATTTCCTGACTCAATGCTCTCTCCTTCATGGTAGAGTATATTGCAGTTTAAAAATTGGACATCATAGATTCTTTTTTTAACAGCTTTATTGAAATACATACCATACAATCGACCAATTTCAAGTGTACAGTTCATTGGTTTTAGCATGTTCACAAAGTTGTGTATCTATCACGTCAGTTTTAGTATATTTTCATTACCCCCAAAAGAAACCCTGTATCCCATAGCCATCACCCCTCAATTTCTCCATACTCCCAGCACTAGGCAACCACTAAATCTACTTTCTGTCTCTATAAATTTATCTGTTCCGGACATTGCATATAAATGGACTTATACATATGTTTTTCATTGTGATAAGCTTACTTTAACTTAGCATAATGCTTTCAAGGTCCATCCATGTTGTAGTATGTATCAGTATTTCATCCCTTTTTATTGCTAAATAATATTCCATTTTATGGATATACAACATTTTGCCAGTGAATTCATGGGCATTTGGAGTTTTTGGCTGTTATGAATAATGCTGCCATGAGCATTCATTTATTGCACGTTTTCATTTCTCTTGGGTATATTCTGGGTTGTCGGAAAAGTCATGGCGCATTTTTGCAACGAAAAACAAAAAATACGTCATGACTTTTCCGACAACCCAATACTTACAGGAGTGGAATTGCTGAATTATCTGGTAACCATGTTGAACCATTTGAGGACCTGCCAGACTGCCAAAGCTACTGTACCTTTTTACATTCATACCAGCAGTGTATGAGGGTTCTAATTTCTCCACATCCTCATCACCACTTATTATTTTTCATATAGCCATTTTAGTGGGCGAGAGGTGGTATCTCGTTGTGGTTTTGATTTGGCATTTCTCTAATAACTGATGTCTAGCATCTTGTACTCATTATCTATTTGTATATCTCTTTTGAAGAAATGTCTGTTTGGATCCTTTTCCCATTTTTAAATTGGGCTGTCGTCTTCTTATTGAGTCGTAGTTCTTAAAATTCTAGATAGAAGATACATGATTTATAAAATTTTCTTCCATTCTGTGGATTGTCTTTTCACTTTCTTGATGGTGCCCTTTAAGGCACAGTTTTTAATGTCGATGATTTCCAGTTCATATATTTATTCTTTTGTTGCTTGTGCTTTTGGTGTCCTATATTGGATGGACATCATAAATTCTTAATTATTACAAACATTTTCTAATATCCCTGAAAGCCCAGGCAAACAAGATACCATTATTTAATGAAAAATAACTAAAGCCGCTAATTCATATTTGGAGTTAATACTCTGCCCCTCTGGCCTTCCCTGTGTTCTGTCCAGATCCATTAGTTGGAGTAACTGATGAAAAGAAGCAAAGATAAAAATCAAGAAATAGCAACTTTAAGTGAAACATTTTAATTTAAAGTACTATATTTTGAGGATCATTTGTTATGAGAATTTATTATGATGTTTGTTGTGGATGTAGTGTATTACTCATAAACTGTATTTGGGGAATTCACATTTTACAAACTTCATGAAGAGAGCAGTAACTCCTTCATTTCTTACAGATGACTAAACCGAGTCCTAAAGAATTTAAATAATTTACTTGCTGGTAGAGCCTTTTCCCTGAGCAAGAAATAGCAATAAAAGTGTAGTTTTCATCACTCTTGTAGCATTATCTGTCTTTGTTAAGATAGTTTTCAAGGTTCTAGATTTATTATTTTTACTAGAATTTTTGTTCTTAAACAGTCGTTTAGGTTTATAAGAGTTTACTTAGAGGAAGTATCCTAGATACAGATTTGAAAAAATATATTAATTTCACCATCTTATTACTCAGGTCTGCACCAGTATAAAGATTACCATAACTGGCCAGCTCATGCTTTCCTTTTTTTCATAATTCATTGCATTCCTATCATTTCAAAATAATTTGTGACTTTAAATCATTGTTATTCATTACATGTTTGGAGGGAATTTATAGGTAAACTTTTGTAAGGATTAGTTTACATTTGCCCAGCTCTTTCATATATGATACATATTTTATCTCTTATTAGCTCGTAAGCTCATTGAGAGAAAGGTTCTTATCTGCTTTTTATTTTTAGTCCCCATAGTTTTTAGCAGAACACTTACTATGTAATGGGCACAGAAAATTTGTTTGTTTAATGAATAATTGATTCTCGCAGGGTCACAAATTTGAAAGGCAAGATTAAAAACCGCGCACCATTAGAGTTGCACAAATTAAACAAAGCAGACATGCATGCTTTAGACAGTTAAAACTTACTGAAATTACAGATGTATTTTTTTAAAGCCAAGGAAATCAGGTTCATTTTCCATAGCTTAAGGAGAAGTTTTTCTGCTTTGAGTTTTTATTAATGCAGATGCTTTACCAATACCCCCTGCCTCTGAAACGAGAAATAGCAAGAGATTGTATTAATCAAAATGACCTTACCGGAAGTCAGTACCAGATTGGTTAAAAAAAAAAAAATACTACACCTACCTGGAAGGTTGGACTTGATGCTGATTCTTTAAGGATTAAAGATAAAGATACCTAAATTTGAAGTGAGCCTTTTAAAAACTGTACACAAAATCTTTGTTGTTGTCTGTATGTCATCTGTCATCTTTGTAGATTAACCATGGCTAATTTTTAAATATAGTCCCAGTATATCCTTGGTGCCTTGAATGCTTGGGCTTTTTCTAGTAAGCAAAACATAATTAAAATGATTACCATGTTGTTTAATAGTCCATTGCCAATATACAAAGAATTCTTCACTTTTTATAATATTGAAGGCTATGTGGTATGGCCCTGAACAGTCTTGTAAATTCCTTACAAATTTCTTAACATCTCAAGTCTCTATATGTGAAGTCAGAGCTAAAACCAAAATGTCTTATGACTCCTGCTATAACTTGTGCTGTCTCACTTCAGGAAAACTGAATTTTCACTCTTTTATGTCTAATTTGTAAATAATTCACCAAGAATACCATTTTAAATTTAGTTCAAAACAACTGTCAAAATAATGAACATTAAAAATAATAAACTTATTTTTAAAAACACTTGGACATTCATTTCCCTTTTAATAGTGATTTTTACGTAGTCTCTCAGCTTTTGTTCAGTAAACAGAATAGTAGGCTATAAATATTTAACTTAGGGCATAACTTTCGTGGGTCCTTACAGTTTCAGCATTGAGCTAGTTTATGAAACAGAACTTAAAATTTGAAGACAGTTTTACTTTTCAGTCAACACAAAAATTGCTTTTCTACAAGTAACTATGTAGGGGGTGTATAATAACCCTTTTTTTCCTTGAAAAAAATTCTCCAAAAATCCATGTAGTGGAACTTTATGTGTAGAAGTTTATATAGGATCACTCTTTTGAAAGGCTTAAGGTGTAAAAATCTGTAAACATAGTATCTGGTGGGTGCTTGAAGAGATGGGATAAAGTGTTATCTAAAATATTGCATAGTCATGGTTGCTGCTTTGCTAAGCAACACATTTTGTCTCTTGGTTACCAGATATGTGAATGCTTATTTCAGAGCCATGAAGGAAAATGAAGCACACATATTTTGCCAATATTAAAAAATAATAACTTTGATTTGAGAAAGCCCCAAAGTTTTCTTACTGAAAGGTACTATAGAATTAGTCACATATTCTAGGATAGCTGCCATATAAGTCATTTCTATAAATCAAATAACATGTTTCTAATTCACTTCTATTAAATACTTCCTTTCAGGGACAGTGTCTTTATCATAGGGCGTGCTATACATTTAAAAATAACTTTACTTAATAAAATTAGCATTCAGATACACTGGTAATCACAAAACTGCAGTAAATCATAAAATATAAATATTGAACTGAAAGCATTTTCTCTGAGTTCAGTGCAATAAATAAACCAGGTAATTCGTTTTATTAAATAACATTGAAAAAATTTCCTTTTGCTGTATGCTGCCTTCGTTTTTGGTAGCAGTGGTTGGATTACCGTATTTCCCCATGTATAAGACGCACCCATTTTCGGAAAATTTGGGGTCTAAAAACTGGGTGCATCTTATACAGTGGTTGTAGATTTTTTTACTTGCATTTCCTGCAAGTGATGAGGAGTTGTATGATTTTTATGGTGAATAAAACTTGAGTTCAATAACTTTATGTAATACATTTTTTCAAATTTCAGGTCCCAAAACTTAAGGTGCGTCTTATACATGGGAGCGTCTTATACCTGGGGAAATACGGTATATTGGCATTTACTATTAATATAAAGAATTTATAAAAATATATAAACAAATTTTCAAGATTTTTGTCTTACAAATGATGAAATCTTATCGATTCAAATCACAGAGAATTAACTTCATATATAACTTTTGTTACCTTTCTCTAATATCTAGACTAGAGATCGAGGTATGGATTTGTTCTCCAATTAAGGGAGAACAGACTTTGGTAAGAGCACAGAGAAAACTGTCAGAATTTACTTAGCTTGATCACGACACCATTTTGTTGTATTTATCATGTTCTGTTTTCCTAAAAATGTGTGTGACCTCATTTTATTAGGGTGTGATCAGTCTAATCTAATATTTTATAGTTGAAGTTGATAATGTGTGTTGAGAGTGTGTGTACATATATGTACATACACATGTATACACATACAGCATTTGAATATGCTGTTTTCCTATCTTGTTTCAGTGAAAATACACTGTATTTAATATGAAAATACTACTTATTATTAGCATCAGAAACCTAGAGCATTGCTAAGTTGCCATCATTGATTGCATACATCTCAGTTCTGCTAGATTGGCCATACTTGCATGATAAAAATAAATGACACATGTTAAAGATTAATAACCAAAAAAAAAAAACTGTAAGGGAGAAAAAGTAAAGGGAAAGAGACAGGGCAACATAATTATTGGTTTCTGGAAAGCTCAAGTCTGTTGTATAGCACCTGAACATTTTGCTACTTTCTTTAGTAAGACATGTCCAAGGTGTTAAAGCATGTTAGCAAGGTCTTTCAAACAGTTACAATATCCTAAAAACTAACAGGTACCAAGTAGCTATGTAGAAAGTATTATGTATTGCTCACAGATGTTTCTAGATATACTTCTGCAAAATATTTTTGGTAATACATTTGAGTATGACAAAATAGTTGTTTAGTTTTAAAATCATGTGCCCAAGTGTGCCTTTTGCTGTGGTTACCCTGAAGACATAAGACTTCTGCTTTTGTAATTTCCTTAAATCCCTGGACTTTTGAGTTGGTAAAAGAGTTCAGGAGGAATCTGCTTGGTGTGGGTAGGGTGCAAGGGAAGGTCCCCCGCCCCTTATAATTAAGATCATTTGTATTTTTAAAAATCAGCATGTGTTCATATATTGTTATTGATAGTTACGAATACATTATTTCTTCTTCACAGTCAAAATTCACAGCTCATTTCTTTGAATACTTACTCTCCTAAACTGATTAAATTGGTCATAGATTTAAGGGATTAAAAAGTAGACCAGGCTGTGGGGAAGATGGGTTTATTTTTCATAAACTTGAAATAGAATGTTTAGGATTGTAAGGACTTGGTCACTTCTTAAAGGTCAAAATATTTAGGAAAAAGGACAAGGTGAAGATTTGCATAATTCTTTCCTTTTGCTTAATGATTGTTAGCAAAACTAATGATAGGGGCTTGCTTTCTTGTTTGATGAGCTTTAATTAGTTTGGTAGAGGCAGATGGATACCAAAATAAGCTCCCAGAAAATTGTCCCTGACTTGATATGGCGTTCTGTAGAGGTGCTGAGTAGGTGAATTTAAATGCTGCTTTAAATCAATGAGGGTTTTACTAGTCAGCTTTTATAATCTTGAAAATTGCTAACATCCTCCCCAGCTTTATTTTTTACACAACATTTCTTACCAACTGATTTGTTATATATTTCACTTGTTTATTTTCCCCTGCTCCCACACATTGGAATATAAATTTACAAAGACAAAGATTTTTAAAATTATGTTTTGTTTCTTTATCCCCAGTAACTTGAACAGTGCCTGACATATAAGTGCTCAGATATGATACTGTAATACAAATATATATGTAATGTAAACTGTTCAAATTGAAAGTATTGTTGGTTTTAGAGAAGTGAACGAGTTATTTATTTGTGAATTCCCTCAGGATATATTGCTATATAAGGTAGAAATAAAATCTGTTCTTATAAATTTTGAACCCAATAACTTACTTTAAGAGACATCATTCTCATTTTGCCGTAGTAGTTGCTTTGGAGTGACTATTCTGTATTATCATTTCTTTTCTCTTTGCTTCTATACAAAATCTGACACCAGCCATTGACTTGGTCATTTCCCTAAAGGCCTACCATAATTTAAGCCTTTTCTCCTACCATTTTTCTTATCCAAAAAGTTCTCCTTTCTCCCCATATTTATTAATATTGTATTGGTCCTCAGTACCTCTTTGGCATGCCATCACTCTTGTTTATTGCAGAATATACTCTCTTTTAAATTTCATGGAAGCGCTCATTTGACATTTTGGTGGGATGTTTATCGAAACTACACTTTAAATATCTACTGTCTTGACTATGTAAAAGGTACAAAAGTGATACAGTCCTTGTCAGATAAATTTCTAAGATGGAAAGGAAAATTAAGAAAAAGGGCTATTAAACTATTTGATAACTATAACAATAGTTATGACTAGAGCAATATAATGAGTAAAAGAGAACACTGTCCACCATATGAGAGAATCTTTATTGAATAATTGGTCTTATAGCATTTTTAAAAATTACTGATAATTACCTCAAGTTATGTTGCATTATCAAGATTGTATATATATAATGGTAATATTTCTGTATTTGCCCACATTCAAGGGGCTAGATGACCTGTTCTTAGTCTCCTTTTACTATATACTCTATTACTATATAGTAAAAGGAAATACTTCCTTTACTCTTTATATTATTAAGTGGCCTACATAAGTATGTGTGTGTACATACATCTTGTGGTATCATTTCCTAGGATCAGAGCATTTAAAACCTTTTAATCCATCTCCCTTGTTTTTACAGATGAGGAAATTGAAACAAAAAGTTTGATTTGTCCAGTGACCAATTGGTGACAGATCCAGCTTTCCACCAAGTGTTAGGTTCCCTTTCCCAACTAACTACTTATGGCAACATTCATTGTTTCTCTCAAAATTGGGTGAATAATACTACAGAATCACTTTGCTTTTTATTTGTCATATTAAGAAGTAAAGATGGTTATAGCAAAATGGTATGCTTTCTGAATTGGTTTCAAATTTTCTGTTTTAAGAATGACTATTTTGTAACTGGCTATAAATTCATAATTTCCAAAGGATTATGTTAATTTTTAGAGATAAATCATGAAAATCCCTAAGTCTTAAGTATATCAGTCCCAAATAAATTTAAAAATTCAAATTATTTGAAGAACAAGAATCACAAAACTGTCAAGATAATACTATATTTTCAGTGATTTCTAAGAAATTCTGTTTCTAATGTTCCAGGCTCAATATTTATGGAACATTCTCTCTGCACTCAGATGTACAGGATCTTTTTCTTATTTTATAGTATTCAGGTTCTTTTTGTTTTGCATTCCCAAAAAGCATTGATTGTATAATGAATTAACAATTTCCTTACTTCAAACAACTTTGGACACCTGCTCTATGAATTTCCTGTGCCTACATATGCATTGCTGGCTAGATTGCTGCTGGGTTAATAGAAAAATATTTGTACACATGATACCATAGCATCTCTTCTCTCCCCACATGCAGATAAAAAGAAAAAAATTTCAAAGTCTAAAATTAATATACCCACATCAAATGCTAGTGTAGTCTATTTGGGAGTCTCCTATTTCAGTACCTTCCAGGCAAAAACCAAAGAAGAGTGTCTGTTTTAGTTGAGTGAGTGAGTTTCTCATCTGATAGAGATTTGTGCTTCCTTAAATTATTCTCACCTCCACTTTGAGAAAGGCCTGAATTTTCTTATGAAAGACAGTATTTGTACTGTTGTCCCAGTCATTGATATCGCCTCAAGCTAAAAGTTACAGAAGTTAAGAAGGCTGTCCCCTCCTCTGAAAAAAAGATTAGTACTCTGCCTGAATAAGATGGTAATGAAACACTGGCAGTTTACATGGGGGATCCTATCCATTGTAAACATCACACTTCATTTTAAAAAGAAGGAATATATTATTTATCTGGGGAGGGAAGAAGTATGCAAATCACATTCCTGTTTTGAATGTGTCTTTGTAGCCGTAATTACTTACGTTAGTTAATAGTTTTTGTTCCTTTATTATAATATATTCATAAATAGTTTCTGAAACAATAAGTTGTAATGATGTCCTATATCTTAAATGTTAAAAAAATTAAATATCCCAGATGTATTCGAGTAAACAAAAACAAAAGAAATATGATCTGTGCCTTAGATTCCTTTTAATCAAATGGTGGAGTGAAACTATGGATGACAACACAGGTTTAAAAAAAACGTGGCTTGGAATAAAGTCTTTTAAACATGGTTTCATATACTCTGTGTACAAAGGAGGGATTGTGATGATAAATTTGTATTTATTTTCATTTTCATTAAAATGATGACTTAGGGGAAAAGATGGAGAAAAGTTTGGGTTTCTGCTTTTATTTGGCTTGCCTCAGTACTGTCCTCAAATGGATTCATTTACTTATTGTAATTAAGATTAGGTGTTTTGCTTTCACATGCCATTTTCTTCTAGTCCACAAGTATGCACAACATTTAGGATACATAAACTGTTTTTTTGTTGATGTTGCTTTCTGTTTCTTGCAGTGTCTTAAGTGTTTTAGTTTAAAAGAACACAGATTGTAAGTATACAACTGGGTGAATTATCACAAGTGATAATAAAGTTATTTCATAATTTTAAAAAAATAGTTTTACTCTTTGGAAATGGATAACAATTTAGGCTACATTTAAACAAAAACAATAATTTCATATGAAAAGTATTGAATTTAAAACATTTTGTTGACAGGTATCTCAAAGTAGGTATCTCAAAATCATGGTTGAAATACAGTTTTAAAATGTTATCCGTGACTTCTGGTATTAAAAGTTTTTACATTGTACAAGTAATCCTGAATCCTCGCTCACTGAAGAAAAAAAAGTAATGTTAAAATATGTAAAATGTAAGATGAAAGTCATCATCCTATATACTTCTACTAAATTTCCCTCTATTCAGAGCTATCACTTTGTGGGAAGTTTACTGTAAAACATCCCACTTCTTCCATGTATATACGTTTACAATAATGTTCTACTTGTTTTTAACATAAATGGGAGTCTATTTTTCAGTATATTTCATGACATCATTTCACTCAGTCCATCTTAGAAAGCTTGATGTGACATTACATTATAGATAGACTTCTTTTTTATTGTTTTAGTTTCTTTAATGGTCCTCCTAATGATGGATACTTGTTTCCAGTTTTTTTGCTATTATAACAAAAATGCTACAGTGAGTATCCTTGAATATATATCTTTGTGAACTAGTCAATAATAAGAGTTTCTTACTGACTAGTACTTTCTCTGTATTTTAGATGTTATTGTGTTAATTATATGTGGCAGTTATTTTCTCCCTGTGCGCTTGTCTTGGTGGCTTTTGCTGTATGAATGTTTTAAGTAATTATGTAGTCAGGTCTGTTGACCTTTGCCTTGTCATCTGTTTCATGGATTCTGTATTTCTAAATTATTTATATTCATCTCCAAAGATATTTTCACTTCCATTTTTAACTGTCACTTGTAAAACACTTTTCTTCCTATAGAACCCTGTAAATGATGGCAAAATGTATTACTATGTGATAACATTCTAATGGCTTGTAGTAATCACATAAGGGTCTGTGACAATTTTGATGATCAATTTCAGAGTTATAAAATAAATGTAATAAATTGTGGAAAAGCATTGGGGTTTTGTGTTATTTATGGAATCACTATAAGTAGTCCTCACTATTAATAAATTCATTTTTGACAGGTAATATGCTAGGCACTGAATGATAACAGTAATACACAAGTAAAAAATAATCCTTTTCATTGTGAATTCTTTACAGATGATCACTTTCCAAGTTACCAGAGTGTTATAACCTCCATGTAGCTGCTGCTGCTGCTAGGACTTGCCCTCCACTTTTTCTGCCATCCAGTGCCAGATTACCCAACAAATACACTAAGCCCTTAGCAAAGTAGGGTCCAAAAGTAAAAAAGATCAGCCTTCATTAACTTGCCAGAATTTTGCAATTAAAAAATTTTAAAGATATTTTAGAGGGAGGGAGGGAGAGAGAGAGAGAGAGAGAGAGAGAGAGAGAGAGAGTGTGTGTGTGTGTGTGTAGTGTTGCATACTATACATAGGATGAGGAATCAGAACACTATAAAGTTTTCAGTGTTTGGGGCCTCTAGTTTGGTTCTGTGACTATTTATCCTACCATCTTATCGTGGTATCCCACAACTGGAGTTCTTGAAACCTGGGTTGATTTTGTCCTACCACTAGTAATTTTCTGTGGAAGCAGCTTATAATTTTTCTGCTGCTTCCCTGTAATAGGAGGGAATACCTTTATAGCAGATACCATGAAGCCAGTATCTCATAAGTCCTGTCATCAGCTCACTCATGTTCTCTACCCTCTCTCCATACCTGATTGGTACAGTTTGAAAAAATTACAACTTTCCTGTCACCCCTCCTCCCCTTGAAAAAGAGGAATCCCTTCTTATATCTAGATGGAGTACCATCTCATTGGGAAGAAATAGCAAGGCAAAAGAAAGGTCTTTTCTTTTTTGAAGGGACTAAAACTTTTACACTCAGCAAAATTGGCCAAGTTTTATAATAATTCAGCTACATTATATTTTAACTAGATTTCTGAGTGCATTTGCCACCCTAACAACCACATATACCTACTTATAACTTGAAATTTGCCTTAAAAGTCACAAAAGCACAAAGCACTGTAGTGCTTGTAACACTCTTCCATATTATTGTAGGTGACTAAATGACCATGGAATCTGGAGCAGAGAACCAGCAGAGTGGAGATGCAGCTGTAACAGAAGCTGAAAACCAGCAAATGACAGTTCAAGCCCAGCCACAGATTGCCACGTTAGCCCAGGTATAAAACACATGGAGCGATTCCGAGCGGTGTCTCTTCCAAGAGGAATATGTTTCAGAGAAGAGAATTCAGTTTTTATTACAGAGATATACATAGACTGAGCAGAGACAGTCTTAGAATACCAAAATTCCTTGTTTACTTAGTATTAACCTAACTTTAGAAATGATCGCATTGATTCGGTAAGATAAAAATGTATTGTTAAACACTAACACACTATTTGTAGTGACATTATTCAGAGATAATTACATTTTAACTGATGGGTAGATTGTCTGTTAAACAAGGGGAAAACCTAATACGATGACTGCTTTTTTCATAGCAGTTGTATTTTGAAAACACAGTTGTATTTTGAGCATGGCAATGCAGATAATCTGAAAGGCTAAGATTACATATGCTTAAACTAAAAAATAGGATAAGCATATAAATGGGCACACAGGTAAGTTTCAAGGATAACAGCAGTTTTTGTTTCCTGTATATTTTAAATATTCATGATTCTTTTATTTTGACTGAAACATTCTCTCTCTGTGGTTATATTCTCTCATCCTTATTTTTTGTTCTTATGTAGTTTTCCTTAAATATTTTATCAACCATTTGCATATATATGAGTGCGAAAGGTGATTGATACAAAAACCAAATAACAAATGTAAACCTGCAAGGTAAAAGTGCATGGTACTGCCTCTTTCAGATAAAGGTTCCCAGGAGAAAAGAATCCTAGCAGAGGCTGCGGGAGGTTGAGCTTCCGCTTCCCAAAGCGTTTAACAGCTTTCCCAGCAGTCACTGAGTAAGAATGGGAGGTTGGGAAATAGAAGACGCACCACACTGAGCTAAAGCGTGGGTCTAGAAGGGGACCTCCAGCAGGAATATAGTCAGAAGAAGTGGGCTGCTCCGTAAGATCACCAGTTCCCACCTCCAGCCCTCAGGAGTAGAAGACACTTGGGGGTGAAATAAATGTACTCAGATGAGGCAGGTGCAGGAACACGGGGGAGAGCCAGGACTTCATCAGCATGTGGTCAAGGAAAGCATGCACACATAAGAACCTGGGCTCATCCAAGCATTCGCCCAAGAGGGATCTCAATGGTGACAACCCTCAACATATCTTTCTCTTGGGTCTCACTATTCTGTCTGGTTTGGGTGTCCTCTGCATCTGATAAATGTCATTCTGGAAATTTCTTTCCCCCTACTATCTTTTTCTTGTGGAGTTTTGTGTTCTTCATATAGGAAAGCACATTTTTCCAGTGGTTTCTTGAGCAAGTTTGGGTAAAGAATTCTTGGTAAGGAAATAATGTTTCTTTCAAATGTTGAAAGCATTCCATAGTCAACTTCTAGTGTTGCTGTTTGAAAAGACTAAATCCGTTTCTTATTTTGTGTTATCTTTAAGTTATTTGGTTGATTCCCCCCACCCCCCTTTCTCTGTTCTCTAGGATCCTTGTGATCCAGATGTTATACTTCTAGGACTGTTTCTCTGATTTTCTCACCTTTTCTCTCCTGTTTTTTATCTCTGTCTTTTTGCTCTGTTTTCTGAGAGATTCTTCAAGTTCACATTCCAACCCATCTGTTAAATTTTTTATTTCTACTATCATGTTTCTAAGGTTCCTTTTGTTCTCGGAATAGTCGTTTTGTGTTTTAATAGCATTCTGTTTATTTTTCACAAAGGCAATGTTTTTCTCTTATCTCTGAGAATGTTAATTAGGTTTTAAGTTTTCTTCTTCCCCCACAGATTTTCCTCTGTATAGCTTTCTTTCCCTTCCATTTGTTCTGGTCTCCATCTTTCATATTAGAAGCTTTCCTTAAATGTTTAATAATTTGTGGTTGTCTGCTCAGGTTTAAAAGGAGGGAATCCAAAAGCTGTATTGGAAACTCTGGATATATATGTTTGGAGCCTAACATTTGTGAGTTGTGAACTTCACTTATGGTGACTGTGGCATTCCCAAAGTCAGTATCTTAAGTCTTTCTTCTGCCCCTTGGTGTTGGACGGGGTCACCAGAGAAAGCTTTAGTAATACCCTGCTTGTATGGTAAAGGCCTAGGAGCAAAGTGAGAGAAAGAGTCTGGGGTTTAGTACCCCACCTTCAGCACTGCCTGGTGTTAGGCAGTCAAAGTCAAGAGGCCCTCCAGAAAATAAATCTCCAGTTCTCTGTCAGCACGGGATACATTAATTGTTCTTCCACAGGAAGTTGAGGGGATCCAATTGCTTCTCAACCAGCCTTCCTTATTTTCAGCCTCTCCTTTCACTCCGTCTTCCAGGGTGTCTTAGATCCTGAGCCTCTTAAGGATTTTGTGGTGCCAATCTGGCTTTCTCTGCGTCTGCCTTATGAGTTGGCTTTCTGAGGTCTTCCAAGTTCAGTACCATTCATCCATCTGCTTTCCAGCCTCCAAAATTCTTAATCTTTCCTATTCTATGCTTGTGTGATTATGCCTATAAAAACAAAATCAATTTCATGAAGTTTAATTGGAGATTCAGGAAAGAGCAAAATTACATGCACATGTTCAATTTGTCATTATTATCAAGCAGTCCTCTAGCAATTAAGACTTTCAAAAGTAGAAGGGTATGATATTTGAGTATTAGAAAACCTAGTTTCCATTTGTATATATTTTTTGTTCTTTTTATTACTAATTACATTTTTTTCCACTAGCTCTCCAAGTCCTTCACACAGCTGTTCTCAACCTTTCAGAGGGGTTGCCTAAGACCATCGGAAAACACATATTTTCGATGGTCTTAGGAACCGAGACGCCGCTCCTCAATCCGTCTCCAGGCCCACATGCAGATACGCCCACATACGAGTACCTGGCGACCCCTGTGAAAGAGTCGTTCGACCCCCAAGTTAAGAACCTCTGCCTTAACACAGCATTCATTTTTTACATAATTCCCTCTCATGATTCGGATATCTGTTACTTTTTTTTATTGTCAGTCTTTAATTCTAAACAAATATAATAAAATTATCAAATCCAAGATCATTGTGATTTGATCAATGAACAGGAAAAAAAAATCCAGCCTAATTAGTAAAGGAAGAAAACCAATCTAAAACAATGGTGAGATGTCTTATTTTACTTGTGGAATCTACAGACTTTTTTTTAAGTGAAAAAAAAATGTTGGTTTTTGATTATGAAAATGTAATTTAAAAAAAATTTTCATAAGGTTTATTTTAGCCAAACTGATGACATATGCTGAGGAGCAAGATCTTGAATTCTCCCAAGAATGTAAATTTTTGGATTTAAGTAGAGTTGAATAAAAGGATGATTGTTGTAGCTTCTTGCAATGGGCAAATTTGAAAACTTAAACATGTAATAAGGAATTTATTAAATGAATTATATAATTTTTACTATTATGTAGTCATTAAAACCATTAAAGAAGACTGTTAATGGGATAGAATGATATTTAATATTATAATGGATTCTAAAGATAAAATAGATTCCATGATTGTGTGTTATAAAAATTGAGTGTATATATGTACCTTTAAAGAAACTAGATCTACAGCAAAAATATTAATAGTGATTAGCTCTGAGTGGTAGGAATATAAATTATTTTAAAAATATTATTGTATATCTGTATTTTATAAACTTATAGTGAGAGAAGTCATGTAGAATGATCAGGGTAGAAAAGGGATTATTCATTGAGTTAGCTTGTTATATTAGGTTGTTGGAAAAGTCATGACGTATTTTTCTATGTTTTTCATTGCAAAAATGTGTCATGACTTTTCCGACAACCCAATATTTTTACCCTAGAGAATACTCAGAAGAGGACATAATAATTGCTTCAAATATTAAAACAGCTTTTATATGGAACTGAGACGAGATACTCTGAATAACTTAAGGTTGTGGTTCATCGTTAAGGGAAAGTATCCTTGGGTTCATCAGAGATTCTGACCTTATAAACAAGCATTCCATATAACACTAATGGAGGTAGTCCACAAACCACATTTTAAAAACCGGTAAAATTAAGCAAGATTTATAGTGGCCAGAAAGAAAGTAATTAATAAGGAAGGACTACCTAACTGTCCAAAGATGGAAACGCATGGTTTTAACCTCTACGTTCAATAGGGATCTTCCCCCCGGAAACTTCACAGTCAACTATTTGCCTGCCAAACACCTCTGCAAATTTAGATGTTAGATCAATTCTATAATCTTCCACCACCACCACAACCACCCAAAAGTTTCTCCTAGTGTTCTATATTTCAGTTGATAACATAGCCTACCAATTCTCGCCCAAATGTGGGTCATCTTTGATTCCTCTCTCAAGTCCTTCAACCAATCATTCTTAAAGCCCTTTCTAATCTACTTCCTGAATTTTTATTAAGTCACTTCTCTCATTCCCATCCCTCCCACAACTAGTGCCTCATTTCTGTCCATCATCTCACCTTCACTACTATATAGGATTTCTCAGTTGGTCTCCTCAGCTCTACTTTTTTCTTCCTGAAATAAATTTCATACTACTACTAAAGAGATCTGTCTAAAATGTAAACCTCACCGTGTTGTTCAGAAGTTCAAAGCCCTTCAGTGCCTTTCCCAGTCTCCTCAGGATAAAATGCAAGTTCTTTGGTGTGGCATATATAAGATTTTTCATGACTAGCCCATCTAGCCCCTATCTACCTGTTATTTCATCTCTCCCCACTTCCTACATCCTACAGTAGCACACTTAGGTAATCCCTGTACTGTGTACAGATGGTGCTGTTTCTCTTTACTTCTGCCGGTGCTGCCTTCTTTGCCTGGAATTCTGTGCCTCTCCCCTGCAAGTTGTAATAACGTTCCTAACTTGTATCCTTTGTTTCAGATTCACATTCTTCCCTGATAGCCCACTCTCTTCTCAGGAGGGTGGGGTAGCTCTCAGTGTGTTCATTTTTCTCTTTACAAACCTCATTACTTCGCTGAATTATATTTATTTTTGTTTTCCCCATTTCTTTACACACATATCCCAGTAATTTTCTTAAGGGCAGAGGTCTGTGTCTTTCTCATTTTTGTAGTTTCAGTTCTAATGTTGCTTCTGGCACATAGGTCCCCAAATGAGCAAATAAAACCCCTACTATCAAATGTGTAAACACAGGAACAGTTAAGTACTGTCTGATACAGGTTCAACATAACAGCCCTTTGTACCTGGATATTGACTCATTAAAATTGCCTTCTTTGTTTCTCAGGAAAAAATTGGTTTCTCTTATATTTTCTCAGCTCTGCTCCTTTATTTCTGCAAGAGGAAAATAAATCCTTAAAATATCAACTCTTACCACTTTAGTGATTTATTTGGATGGGGGGGTGGGGAGGATAGAAATTTTCAGATTATAATGCCTATTACTACTTTCTCATTAAAGAAAGGCATACTTGGGGCAGCTGGTTAGCTCAGTTGGTTAGAGCACAGTGTTCATAACACCAAGGTTGCCTGTTCGATCTCCACATGGGCCACTAAGATGTGCGCTCCACAACTAGACTGAAAACAACTACTTGACTTGGAGCTGACTGGTCCTAGAAAAATACACTGTTCCCCAATAAAAAATAAAAATAAAAGATTGTTAAAAAAAAAAAGGCATACTTGTAATTAGTTTAAAATGGAAACTGCTGTGAATTATAAAAGGTATATTTGCTCTAGACTTAGTAGCCAAGTTTTGTCCAAGTTTGAGAGCAGTTATATTTTAGAATATGGCTTATTTAACACATGATATTATGAAGACTTAATGTTTCTTCAAGTGTAGCATATCTCTTTACCTTCAGTAAATTTCTTAATCTCTTAGAAAACTTGGTATTTCTGTCTTTAAAGTGGAGATAATCCTTATTACCCAGGCTTGATTTCTTTGAAGAGCAAAATGAGAAATTGGGTATGAAAGCAGGTGGGAAAATGTAAAGCACCATAAAAAAACAGAGTGGAATTTAGTGTTCAGAGGAAGTCTGTTATGTATTTTGATACTACATTTTAAAATAGTATTTTGGCTTTTCTCATTTGGAAGGAGTTTTTCTGAAAAGGGGGGTTGGGGAGGATTTGTAGTTTTTTCTTTTTAAGAATATTAATCATTAGTTTCTTTCACAGCAGTGAAGTGTACTTATCTAGCAGAAAGGTCATCTTTCTGTTGCTAACAAGTTGCTTCATGCTGAACATGAGTACTCCCTAAAATGTATCTGTGATGGTAATTCTTTCCCATGTTCACACTGTAGGTATCTATGCCAGCAGCTCATGCAACATCATCTGCTCCCACCGTAACTTTAGTGCAGCTACCCAATGGGCAGACAGTTCAAGTCCATGGAGTTATTCAGGCGGCCCAGCCATCAGTTATTCAATCTCCACAAGTCCAGACAGTTCAGGTATGTGTATAAAAAGTTCTGCATCTGCTTTTCTAACTGTTGTTTATAGCCATATCTCTCCCCTTTCATTAATTATGAAAATAGGAACATATATAGTTCAGAGTTTACTTTACAGTAAAGGTAATTCTGCATCTGTATAGTCAACGTATGTATAGGAACATACATACACAAGAAAAGACATATAGAATTGATTGGGGAAAATCATTAAGTACACGGGATAAAGTAGAAAGAAATGTTTGGGAGAGACCGTAAGACTGATATATCTCAGTTAAGGAAAATTCAGATACAAAAATAATAACTATGTAATTATTTTCTAAACATGCAATTGGAAAAAAAAAACCCTTGTCAAAAATTAATTAATAACCTTACCTAAGATAATATTTAAATTTAGAGATCACATAAAGCATTTGTAAAACCAGCTATGTTTAGGGTCCTAAATTAGAGTATATAAATTTGAAATTATATATTCAGAAAGTGCACCTTAAGAGTCAGGAATTATGTTGCGCATGTTATCATATTCTTTGGAGAAATTGTTCCTTTGAATTGGATCCAAAGGAATTAAAGGCACGTAGACCTCTGAAGGTGACTGCTCTACTTAGTTGTAAGGAAAACCTAAAGCAGTATACATCTTTGCGGTGAGCTTATTGAAGAAAAAGAAAAGGACTTGAACGTTCATTCAAGTAGGCCATAACCCCAGCCTCCCATTTCATATTTTTTGCTTCACAGTCTTCCTGTAAGGACTTAAAAAGACTTGTCTCCGGAACTCAGGTGAGTCCTAGGTCCTAGATTTGAAGAGAACTATTTTTAGAAAGGAAGGTGAGAAATTATTCTTTGTCTTTGTCCTCTTCAAACATGGAATTCAGGCTTGAATAAAAATCTTGGAGATCTAGGTCTAGGCCAAACTTGTTATTTACCCAGCCATTAGTCTATCGCTTAATTTCCTTATATGTCCTTTCTCCCCGCCTCCCAGTGGTAGTCCAGCACTACTCCAGCACTCTCAGGGGACAGGAGCTCCATGTCCTGAGGTAACCGATCTATAATTAGGGGTAATTGCTAAAATATTATTCCCTGTGATGAACCAGAATATGCCTTTCTATAATTTTACCTGGTGGACCCAGTTCTATCCTCAGGAACTAGTTAATAAGCAAGTTTAACTCCTTTCCTATTGGACCACTTCCTATTCTCTGTCTCCCTCCCCCTTCCCATTTAAAAAGAAAAAGTCCAGACTAAACAATCACCTGTTTTTCTTCAGCTATTTATTATATGGTGTAGCTTTGATTCCTCATCTCTCTCTCTCTGTATTCTCATGGGGGACCTGTTTTGTTTTTATTGAGTATGGTAGCCAGACTGATTGATATTTGCAGAGGGGAGAAGTGCCTCCCTTGTCCTGGAAGCGTTCTGTTAACGTTGAAAGGACATGTTAGATTTTGTCAGTCATATTAGATTATTGGGTATTGAGCTGCTGTTACCCACCTCTGCTTCATTCTGTCCTTGTGCTTTTGGTTTTCTTGAACACTTAGTGGAAAAAAAGAATGTTTTCGTGTGAAACCATTAAGTTGTATGAATTTCCATACTGAAAGATACTGGGGGGGCCGGCTGAGTGGCTCAGTTGGTTAAGAGCTTGCTCAAGAGTTTGAGCTCTGAGCAACAGCGGTTCGAGTCAGCCCGAGCTGAGCAGCCGTGAGCTGCCAACAGGTGGCGGGATGGCTCAGCTAAAAAAAAAAAAAAAGATACTGGGAATGGAATTTGTTAACCAATTAGGAGACAGTGTTGTTCAGGTAAAGACCAAAGAATTTAATGTTTCTGTGGAATCACACTGAGTTATAGTCTCCTATTGTTTTTTTGTTTGTTTGTTTTTTCATTGAATGCTACCTTACTATTCTCCATACTATGCCATTACTCATTCCCTACTTATGTCTTCTTCTTGATAATAGTGGAAAGAACCTGCTAATCAGAAGATTAGATTCCAAACCTCACAATCTTTTTTTTCTTTTTCACTTATAGTAGGAGGTCTTTCTGTAAAGAACACACAAAAACTGTAGCCACAAAATTTAAGATTACAATTTTTGGATATACTATGTGATGCTTAATGCTTTGTTGTATTCTTCATTTTAATCTTTACTTTGCTGCAATAATAATAATTTGGAATTAAGGGTTATATGGCCATTAACTATAGAAATGTGTTCATCTTTATAAGAACACATTTTTCCATTAAGGTGAGCTCTGCTTACAATTGAGAGTGTGAATTCTACAAATAGAGACACAAATCTAGCATTTTTTTTCTTTAAAGCGCCTAAACCATGGAGAACCTATTAAACTTTACTGGTCACTTCAGCTGGTTAACAGTAATTAGCATTAATAACTAGGAAGTAGTTTACATCAGAACAGGTGCTCAAACAATGAGAGAAATGGTCCAAGACGAGAGAATATTAGTATTCTAGAACAGCATTTCCAAAATATATAAGGCACAATTCTCTGGTGTGAGAGTAAGATATTAGGACTTCTGTTTATATTTTTAACCTAAGACTATTAGAAACTAAGCTGTATTAATATTTCATATATGGCTTGCCATTGGTGCCCTAACTTTATCCCTGTGTGTGTGTGTGTGTGTGTGTGTGTGTGTATTATATATATATCTCAGATTTCACAGGTTCTATACAGGGAATCCCCAAAACAATGGGAGTGACACAAATGTATAGACATTAACAGTGGCATCCCCACTTTTCATTTGTTGGTTTGTGATGCATTTTTAATACAGTGCAGTTTAAATGTGTCAGACAGAGGGCTTATGGATTGTTACCTTAAACTATTACATTCATTCCTTCAGTAAATCTTTATTGATCACATGCTTTGTGCCAGTCATTGTTCTAGGTTCTTTGAAAGACAGCAGTGAACAAATAGTACTTCTCTGTTCTCATGAAGATCACATTTAAGAGAAGAGAGACAATGAAAAAATAAAATATGTCAGGTGAGGATAAGAGCTGGGAAGTTGATTAAAGCAGAGGGAAGGGATAGAGAATGGTTTGGAGAGAAGGGAGCTCTATTTTATATCGGGTGGTCAAGTAACATGATGAGCCGAGGGCAGTGAAGGAGACTCGCTAACCCATAAGAATAAAAGCAAATCCAAAGGCCCGAAAGTGAGAGTGTGCTTCACATATCAAGGAATAGCAAGAAGATATGGCTCACATAGAGTGATTGGAGATAAAGTTTTTGATACAATCTTTACAATACATTGTAATGTGATGGGAGCAACAGTAAAAATCTCTTGTACAACAGAGATTCAGTGATTATCATGTAGCAATATGAGTTACTATCTAACGTAAGGATGAGTTTGTTTTTTACATAAGACAAGTGTTCCAAAGTTTCCGCTATTTGTATTGATGGCAAGCAAGGACTTGCAAGGGACATATTACTTATTTTTTTTTGGAGGGGGGAGATTCCCTTTCAACCGTCCTTTCTGGAAGAAAGTGACATGTATGTAAGACTAACTGCTTTTTGAAAGAAACTTGTGCTATAGAGAGAACATTTTGGAAATAAAAGTTTAGAAATGTTTAGTTTACATATGTGTTTTTTAACTGCAAACAGTATAAATGATATACTTTTAAAACCTGGAAATAGAATTTTCTAAAACTATTCAGAAGTCTTCTAGAGTTTCAGTAGGTGTTGTTGACCTTACCTGTTAAAATGTGAAACTATAACTTCTTTAATTAGTGTACAGTAACTGAGCCAAGGAGATGAAAATGTACTAGATAAATGTACTTGATCTCATCAAAAGTTTGTATAATTGGTAGATGAAAATTAAAAATAGTTGATTTAGTAAGGCTCTCTTTAAAATTTTGTTTTAGAATATAACACTTAAAATTTACAAATAAATATATATGCTTATGTAAATTTTTCTTATTTATAAGGGAGATCTGCAGAGCAAAACAGTTTGGAAATCATTACTCTAGACTTTTATTAAACTACTTGATCCATTGAGTAAAAAACTACCTAAACCATGAGTGTGAACACTACTCAAGAAAAGTACTTTAGTTTCCAGGGGACCGCGTATAGTTTGAGAAGACATCTAACATTACCATTGCTTTTATTTTTGCTGATATTTTATTTTGAAATTTCAAAAAACCTCAAAATAGGAAGATTCTCCCCCCCCCCCACACACACACCCATATAAACAAGAAGTATACGTTTAAATGAAAGTTGAGAATACCTCTCTAAAACTTTACAAATACAGTGGTGATTTGGCCTTCTTAAAATTTCTTGACTTATTTAATCTTAAGTGGCCAAGGTGAAAGACCTATTTAAGGAGCTCAGGAAGGGGCTTATAAGACAGGTGACAGGAGGGGGGGCCCAGAGGAAGCACCTGTATCACTGGAATGTGACAGTGGTCTGTGATATCATTTTCATAGGGTTGTTTTTAATAGTCTATTAAATATAGAACTATAATTAATAGTTGTTATTTACAAAAAAGATTTTTGACATGATTTTTATTAGTCTAAGAAATGTGGGACCACTGTGTTTTTTGGCTTTTTGGTAGATAATCCATAGGAATTGATTTCATAGCTCTCAGTAATTACTATATAGTGATAAATTAATTCTTCTGTCTGAATTGACAAAATCTTTTATTAGATTAGGGTTTTTTTCTCCTAAGCGCAATAGATCCACTGAGTTTTAAACAAAATCAAAGGCTATATATAAAAAAGCAACATGAATTTATTTCATTTTGTAGCATGTTTTAAAGTTGGGTCATTTATGTAGCATGTTTTAAAGTTGTTTCCATGATTTTTCAACTTGGGAATAGTGTGCTTAAGTCACTATGTCCTTAAAAAAGGTTTAAGGTTGAAGGTCAAAGAATGAAGGCAGAAAGAACAATAAAGGAACTAAGGTTCTGAGAAGTATTAATGAAGGTAAATGCTTGTCATGGTACTGTCCACTGAGTGCAGTCCTGTTATTCCTTGAAATTCTGACCACCTACTGAGGCCTTCTCACAGCTCCTCATCTGTTCTACATCTATGAGAAAGTCTGTGCAGACTTTGCTGAGGGGGCTAGTTAAAGCAGCTATAGATCAGTGGAAAATTGTTCTGTGTGCTCCTTTGGCAGTCACTACAGCATTATTACTTTGCGAAGAATCACAGATCAGCCTTTTTATCTCGTTTCTGGATTCCTTAAATGTTACTTGTTAATTTTTAGGTCTTTAAGACTATACTTCTTATACTTTAAAGTGTTTGGATGAGGCATATTATTTTATGGTAGGTATATTTTGTGAACGATTATTGGATTTACCTAATTTCATTATCAAGTTGACTGCATATCACAAAGCCCTGTCAAAATGAATGCCTACTCTCGAACCCTTAGGCTCAGACCACATACAGAGTACCTTTGGGATTTCTCAACTTCCTCTGAATATGTTTTTTCTCTTTGCCACTGCCATAAATTATGACCTGGAGCTAACCCACACAGACCCTTTTCCCTGGTTAAATCTGATTCTCACTTGGACAGTATCACACACACCTACCGTGTTTTCCCAAAAATAAGACCAGGTCTTATATTAATTTTTGCTCCAACAATCTACATTTATTTATTTATTCATGTACAAAAATCTACTTTTATTCAAACAGTCATGTCTGGCTGACGATCTTAACTGAGGCTTATGTTTGGGGTAGGGCCTATATTACAAGCATCCTGAAAAATCATGCTAGGGCTTATTTTCCAGTTAGGGCTTATTTTCGGGGAACCGGTAATTCAGGAAAGAGCAAGAGGGTCTGACTGAGCAGACTAGGGAAACTTGGGAGTACAGATTTGACCCTAGGTGAATAAACTTCTAGCCTAAAAATGGTCTAAAAACACCTCTGGATTGCTGCTTCTGACAAAACTGGTTTGAGATTGGAACCAATAGGGTACTGATGCTTGTAAAAACGTTTAAAACTGAGATACCAAATATTGACAGTGGCTCCACTACTTCTTAGTTCTGTGACTGTGGTAAGTTACTTAACCTCTTCGTGTCATAGTTCTTCCATCTATAAAATGAAATATAGTAATCGTACTTATCCAGCAGCTAATGTTACTGTGAATATTAGCAAGTATTAAGTAATATAACATGTTTGTGCTTTACCAGAGCGCCTAGCACATAGTAAGTTGTTGGTAAATGCGAGTTACTATTATTATCCCATGTAAAATCTTTATTCAACTTATCATCATTATTTTTCAATCCAGGGATACTTTCCAGAAATGCAGTTATTTACCTTGAGTGTTTGCTTAATAAAAATTGTAGAATGCCAACTTTGAACCATGTCTATACGTACCAGAGAGCTTCTTCCTAACTTGCTAGAAACCACCATCAGGAACATGGTGGGAGATCGCTGATCTTATTTGTATAATTGTAAATGTATTCACAAGTGTTTACACAGTAAACAGTAAAGGAAAATATTTGTATAGTCCTATATAGACTTATGACCAAGTATTGAGTCATTTATTCTTTCCTTCATGTCAGAAACCTTATTTTACTTGATAGTTTTGTTCTAACAACTATAAGAAAACAACTGACAGGTAATATTAATGCCTTCAGAATTGATTACATGAAGTCCTAAAAGAAATTAAGCTGAATTTGGGTATCATAAAAATTTCATTTTGACAAAATTTTTAGGTCCTCTGACTTTTATAGAATAAGTAAAGGGAAGAGGAAAGTGATTGGTATGGTTCTCTCTCTTAAAAAGTGATTTTTTTTAAGCTACTGAAGCATGTATAAAGTTCACATATGTTCTTTTATATTTGACTTTTTAAAATTCATAAAAATTGTATGGGGACTAAATTTGATTATCAAGATAAAGTTCTTCTTTATTTTCAGATTTCAACTATTGCAGAAAGTGAAGATTCACAGGAGTCAGTGGATAGTGTAACTGATTCCCAAAAACGAAGAGAAATTCTTTCAAGGAGGCCTTCCTACAGGTATGGAATTTAATAGTTAAGAGAATTTAGAATCTTGGGATGAGGAAGAAGGGGAAGGGATTAGACAGCATAAATAGGTAACTACAGTATTGCCACAGTGGTATGAAAGACAGTTTGGGGAATGTAATTAATAATGTAAATATTTTGTAGGGTGTCAGATGGTCACATGTCTTGTTAGGGAGACCACTTCAAGGATGGGGTAGAGGCTTGATCACTGCATTGTACACCTGAAGCTGATGTTGAATAATATTGTATGTCAACTATAATTGAATATATATTGGGTTGTCAGAAAAGTCATGACGCATTTTTGCAACAAAAAACATAGACTTTTCCAACAACCCAATATATAGTCACGGGATGTGGAGTATAGTGTGGGAGTGGAGTCAATAGAATTGTAATAGATATGTATGATTGGGGGGGGTGTCACTTGGAGTGGTAAAAAGTATAATTATTGCATTGTGTTGTACGCCTGAACTAATTAAAAACAAACAAAAAAAGAATTTAGAATCATAGATGTCTGAAGACCAATTAGCTGCTCAGTTCAGGACCATATAGCTTACTAATCTTCACCTTGAGGTACTTATCTCAAAGTAAATTGAAGCTTATATAGAATAAAAGCACGTCTTACTCTGCACAGTCCTGGGAAAACACTGACATTTTTTTCTGTTTCTGTAAATTATGCCATCTGCTGCTTTTCTGTTAAAGTGTTTGGAATACATTTGATAAGGTCATAGCATTTTCCATTTACATGTCGGTTCTGAAACTATACTATTCATCTACTTAGCAACACATTTGCAAACCATTTCTGTGCCACCGTTTATTAATTTAATAGTTGTTCAGGGTGATGCTTTGTAGATATCCCCTAATTTTAGGGACACCTTACTGTAGTTTTTGTATTCAGCTGTAGAACTTGCCTGGTCCATGCCTTGCCTCCAAGATGGACCAAAACCATTTTTTGTTTTTTTTCAGTTACAGTTGATATTGAATATTATTTTATACTAGTTTTAGGTGTACAGCATAGTGGTTTAACATTTATATGCTTTATGAAGTGATCCGCCAATTAGTCTAGTACCCACGTGGCACTATACATAGTTGTTGCAACATTATTGACTATATTCTCTGTGCTGTACTTTACATCCCCGTGACTATTTTGGAACTACCAATTTGTGTTTCTTAATCCCCTCACCTTTTTCACCCAGCCCACCAGCCCTCCTCCCCTCTGGCAACCATCAGTTTGTTCTTTGCATCTATGAGTCTCTTTCTGTTTTGTTTGTTCATTTTGTTCTTTAGATTCCACATGAAAGTGAGATCATATGGTATCTGTCTTTCTCAATGTGACTTATTTCACTTAACGTAATACCCTCTAGGTCTGTCCATGTTGTCGCAAATGGTAGGATTTCATTATTTCTTTATAGCTGAGTAATATTCCGTTGTGTATATATACCACAATATACCCATTGGTATATTTACCAATGGGTATATACATACCAATATATATCCAATGTTCTATTGATGGGCACTTGGGTTGCTTCCATATCTTGGCTATTGTAAGTAGCGCTGCAGTGAACATAAGGGTGCATATATCTTCTCAAATTAGTGTTTTGGATTTCTTTGGATAAATACCCAGAAGTGGAATTGGTGAGTCATAAAGTAGTTCTGTTTTCAGTTTTTTGAGGAACCTCCAAACTGTTTTCCACAGTGGGTGCACCAGTTTGGAATCCCACCAGTAGTGTACAAGGGTTCCCTTTTCTCCACATCCTTGCCAGCACTTGCTGTTTGTTGATTTATTGCTGATAGCCATCCTTATAAGTGTGAGGTGATATCTCATTGTGGTTTTAATTTGCATGTCTCTGATATTTAGTGACATTGATTATCTTTTCATATGTCTATTGGCCATCTGTATGTCCTCTTTGGAGAAATGTCTATCCAGGTCTTCTGCCCATTTTTTAATTGGATTGGGTTTTTTTGGTGTTGAGTTGTATGAGTTCTTTATAAATTTTGGATATTAACCCTTTATCACATATATCATTGGTAAATATCTTCTCCCATTCAGTAGGCTGTCTTTTTGATTTGTTGATGGTTCCCTTTGCTGTGCAAAAACTTTTTATTTTGATGTAATCCCATTTATTTATTTTTTTCTTTTGTTTCCCTTGCCCAAAGAGATGGATCAGAAAAGTATCACTAAGAGCAATGTCTGAGAGTTTACGCCAATGTTTTCTTATAGGAGTTTTATGGTTTCAATCTTACATGTAAGTCTTTAATCCATTTTTAGTTTATTCTTGTATATAGCGTGAGAAGATGGTCCAGTTTCATTTTTTTGCATGTATCTGTCCACTTTCCCCAACACGATTGATTGACAAGACTGTCTTTACCTCACTGTATGTTCTTGTCCTCCTTTGTTACAGATTTAAATGACCATATAGGCATGGGTTTACTTTGGGCTCTCTTTTCTGTTCTGGTGATCTATGTGTCTGTTTTTATTCCAGTACCATGCTGTTTTGATTACTGTAGCCTTTAGTATAGTTTGATATTGGGTAGTACGATACCTCCAGTTTTCTTTTTAAGATTGCTGTGGCTGTTCCAGGTCTTTTGAGGTTCCATATAAATTGTAAAATTACTTGTTCTAGTTTGGTGAAAAATGCCATTGGCATTTTGATAGAGATTTCATTGAATCTATAGATTGCTTTGGGTAGTGTAGACTTTTTAACAATGTTAATTTTTCCTATCCATGAACACAATATATTCTTCCATTTATTTGCATCTTCTTCAATATCTTTCTTCAGTGTCTTACAGTTTTCCGAGTACAGGTCTTTTGCTTCCTTGGTTAAATTTATTCCTAGGTAATTTTTTTTTTTGGATGCAATTATAAATGGCATTGTTTTCTTAATTTTCTGACCTTTCATTATTAGTGTATAAAAATGCAGCCAGCTGGGCCGACCGAGTGGCGCATTGGGGAGTGGGCTTGGGACGCCGGCTCTGAGCAGCAGGGCCCAGGTTCGGATCCCACATTAGGGCCACTGCGCCCTCTACAGCTAAGATGGTGAACAACAGCTTGACCTGGAGCTGAGCTGCTGTGAGTCGCCGTCGCCGGCGTAGGCTGCAGTGAAGCTGCAGTGGGCTGCCATAAGCTACCATGTGTGGCTGGAGG